AATACCCACATTTTAATAGCTTTTCTCCAAATAGCTTTAAACGTGGACTAGTCAAGACTCTATACTATAGGGCGAGGAGAATATGTTCTATAGAGAAATTAGAGTGAGAATTTATGTTTCTTGGAAAGATGTTGAAGAGTAATGGATACCCTCAAAGATTCATTAATAAGTATGGAAGATATGAAGTCTCAAATGTCAAACAAATCACAGTGGAGAAAAAGCCAATCTACATTCAACTTGATTATATAGGTGAAAACATTGCAGCAATGATCAACAGAAGGCTGAGTACATCACTAGCCATAGCCTATCCTGCAGCTAGCTAAATTGCGTCCCGTCTATCGAACAACTTGCTCTCCTTTGGTGCAATCAAAAATCGACAGATATCCTTCTCATGTTGTTAACTCCAACTGTATATACAAATTTACATGTATCTGTGGGAGCAGTTACATTGGAAGGACAGAAAGAAGGGCATTTCTACGATTTTCTGAACGTGTACTAAAAAGCTTATGGTCTAAAGGGAACAAATGCTTTAAACAGTGCCATCGCCAGACATCTCCATGACGCCGATCATGAGGTGGACGTCGCAAGATCGTTCAAAATTATCAATAGGCAGAAGAGTTCAATTCTTCTCAAGTTTGCTGAAGCCATCTCCATGAAGTTCCTGAAACCTGATTTATGCGATCAGAAAGAAGAAGTTACCAGTCAGTCTTTCTTTAACCTGGTAACTGAATATTTCCACTCGTCTTTCATCTGAATACGTAATGTCGAGGGTTTCTATTGTGTTCGGAATAGTGTTTAATATTATTATATATATTATTACTCTGTGCGTATACTGATTGATTGATTCTCATTTAAAAATGAATTCAGTGCAAGTATGTTGAAATTGTTTTTGTGGATATATTTAATAATGTCCTTGGCCTGTAAGCAGCTGACGAGAAGGCAACGATATAAACAATGATGGTACCATTTTATTTTGCAAAAACTGTTGTTCTTGCTTTATTCAAATTCATTAAGGGGAATAAATATATGTAAAGCACACAGTTGAACCTGGAATTACACCGAAGGTAGACGGAGGGGCATGTAATGGCAATAAAACCTAACTCTACCTCAACTTTATAGACTTCGAGAGAGCCTTCGACAGCGTTGACCGTGAAGTAAATTGGAAACTACTCGAGTACTACGGCGTACACCAAATATTCATCAACCTTATTCAACAGCTGTACGACAACGGAACATGTCAAGTGATCCACAACGGAAAACTCAGCGAGGCGTTTGGAGTAAACACAGGAGTCAGACAGACAAGGGTGATTATTATCACCAATGATATTCTTAATTGTGGTGGACTGACTGGATTATGCGTCAGGCAGTCAGTGGGAAACGAGAAGACAGGGATATCCTGGACCGACCAACGTGAAGAACCTAGAAGACCTGGATTTCGCGCGTGGATGATTTGTGTTTGGTGTCACTGTCACAAAATCGAAGACTTACAAGCGAAAACCGACAAACTGGTCGAAGAAGCAGCCGGCGAAGACAGGACTCCAGGTGAACATAGACAAGACGGAGGTTATGAAAATAACAAACCACCACCACCACCAACAGCAGCAGAAACATCCAGCGTCAATCACCATCAATGGGAGGGATTAGTAAGAGGTTACTTCATTCACTTATCTAGGGAGGGAGCATTGTCTCAACTACAGACAGTCGGAACGGACGAGGATGTCAAATCGAGTGAGAATCGGGAACGCGAGCGAGAAACACATTCATCAACCAACCTGAAACCAATCTGGAAATCTTCGTCAATCAACTCAGAATCAACAACAAAATTCAGTCGGATTTTCAATACAAACAACGTCAAGTCAGTCACCTCTTCTATACGGATCTGAAACTTGGTGGGTGGGTCACAAAGAATATTTCCAACAGCCTGTTGCAGACGTTACCTTTATCAACCAACAACTGTCTTCGCTGGCTACATACTGAAGATCAGATGGCCGGGCCGGGTCGAAAAGAATCACCAACACGAAACTATGGGAACAAACAAAGGAAGAACCAGTCGCCAACCAACAAATATGCAGGAGAAAGTGGATTGAGATGGATTGGACACTCGCTGAGGAGGCCACCACTGGGTAACATCGCGCTCGTCAGGACATCGCTCGAGTCTAACCAGGCCGAAAGTAAAGCGGTGAGTGGGACGTCAGCGCAAGGGTAACATGGAGGAGATCGTGTGAAGAGGAGTTGAAACAGTATGGACTAACATGGATGCAGGTGAAAAGTACAGCAGAAGGAAGACAGAAGTGGCAAGTGGATACGTGCAATTGAAGCCCTATGTTCCACTAGGAACCCAAGGGAACAATAATAATAATAATAGACGGAGGGGCTGAAGAAGTTTCTTCTGTATACCATTAATCAGAGTTTAGCATTCGAATCGATAAGTCCTCAGTAGTACAAAGTATACAGAAGCATTCTATTTTTCGGGACTCTTCTCTAGACTCTGTAGATAACTTTGAATGAATTTTACTTACATATTTTGAGGGGCCAGTGCTAAAGATATATTCAATTAAGCACTCCATATGGATTCATCGTGACCTTTTGTCGGCAGGCGGGGTAATGCTCCTTTACTCTCCTAGAGAAAACACGCAGTGAACAACCTACATACCTCGTACCACAGGAGTGAGTGAACTTGTAGATACACACAGAAGTGGTCAAATGCGATCAGTTATCGGAGAACATTAGATGGAGGTAAAGTATGTTTTCTTTTCAGGGCATTTGATGTTTTTTCTCTAGCATGTTGATTCGGGAAGTCACATTCATCTATAGCACCTTGTTTGGCACAGAGATGACGTTTCCTCCTTTGGTCTTGAGTTTTATATCTTTATTTAAAAAGCGCGGGATAGCCATGTATAAGTAGTGTCTACCTCAAAAGACTGATCTCTCTATTTACCAACTCAGGGCTGCATTTTTTTTGTATAACGTATATTAATATCATTTTCTTCACTAATATTTTGTTCACTCTATTCATGTGTTATGTAATACACCTTATCCTTGTCTCTCTGGTGTTTTATAACTTCTAGTTTTTATGAATGTGTTGTTGTATTGCGCAACCTTTAGTTTATACTTACTAATCTTCACCACCTCTTCCCTAATTACAACTTGACTAGTCTTCAGTGTATTGAAATGTTTTTTCGTTCTACGATGTTTGATAGACTGTATTTAATTTTTTTTTGATTTTTAGATTTACAGCTTGATTCCACACTGTATTTTTGGTACAAGTATGGAATTTTCAGCATGGATATCGGTAGCCCAAATTTCGCAGGCCGACCATAGATATCAGGTGTGCGCCGGCGTGGGCTCGAACCCCGGACCATATGCATGGTCGGCGAGAGTCCAACCACTGTGCCACCGACGCACGTGAGCAATTATATGTAGTTAAGACTACACAGGTAAGTGAATGAACTCGTAGAAAACTGCTCTTCGTCACTGAACTATTTGTGTTCTGAATGTCTTATCTGGATGGGTTGGTATTCAACTAACTGTAATTTCGACACAATGACCAACTACCAATGAATGTCATCGATTAACAGCTGTTTCCCCCTGTGAATGGTGTGCGTCAGTAGTTCAGCCATAGACAGCTTACACCAATCATGCACGTGATCAAATCTCCGATCGACACATAATATAAGCTGTATATATATGTAAACGGCGGTTTGATCAATGAAAAATATCTTTCAAGTGTTGGTTTGTAGGGATTTGATTGGTTTCAGGATTTCATCATGAGCTGACATTAGTTAGAGAGCCATTGGACAGCTGTTTCGTCCTAGTTTGGGACTCTTCATCAGCACGCACCCACCGGGATTCGAACCCAGGACCTTCCGGTTGCAAGGCGAGCTCGTATACCATTAGGCCACTGGGACCCGATCCAATGGTCCTTGAAATCTAACTTCCGCCAATTCACGACATAGCGCATGCGATTAGCTCCCACCAAATGCAAAATGATGCTAGATGACTGGACCACACTGACTCCTAGTTTAGAAATAGGGAGCGAAGTGGTAGAGCACGTTGAACGCTTCACTTATTTGGGAAGTACCATCAGCCAACACCAACAGGTTGATCTCTGACGAAATCTCAGCCCGGATACAGAGGGCTAGTTTCGCATATGCCAGTTTACGCCGTCTCTGGCTTAGTAGACGTGAAATCCGACTATCGACCAAAGGGCGGATGAACTGCTCAGCAGTAAGCTCCGTCCTCCTTTATGGCTGTGAGCAAGGCATAGGCATTGAGAGTGGAAGACATGAAAAGATTAGCTGTCTTTGATCATAGGTGACCAATATTGAGGTTTGGCATCGGTCGAGTGCCAGGTAGGTGGGAGGGAAAATTAATCCATGAGGCTGCGAAATTGCATCAACTGAGATGGTTAGGACATGTGTTACGTATGCCCACCTCGCCTTCCTCGACCGACAGGCAATGTTAGGTGACATAGGCTCAGGTCGGAAAAGAACAAGCCAGTAGTGGTCAAACGTAAACATGGCTTCATCAGTCAATGAAATCCACAACAGTCAGTTTAGGCTAGCCACGTAGGAAGGTGTAGACTTCCTGATTGAATGGTTGGGGTCCTCGGGACGGTAAAAACCAATGATGACTGGGAACAATAGGTGATATGGCTCAAAATAGTTCTCAATGGCTGACGCAGTTAGATGCATCCACTTCTTGTGACTTATGATTTCCAGTGGAACTATATTGTCTTTCGTTATTACTATTCCTTTTGTCTTACACCTCTGTTTACTGTATGTATTATGTATTTCTTTTCACTTTCCTCTCTTGTTATGTGTGCTACAAGGAGGGAGTGTGGCGACTTGAACTGTCGCACATATGTGCAAAGTTCTATGTCGAAAACAGACAGACAGGCAGATATAGCGTGTAGTAACTGAAACTGTTTTACTTCTGTGCAAAGTTCTACATTAAAAGCAGTCAGTCAGTCAGTATAAAAGACACACACACACACGTGTAGACAAACAAAGCAAGGAAGGGGAAAACAAAGAACAAGATGATTTTGCTCACAAATAATCTTTATTTTGATGTGTGTGTGTATGTGTATATCTGTGTGTGAGTGAGTGAGTGTATGCGTGTGTCCATGTGCTCATACAATACAATACACACCTAATTGAATACCATAGATATATGCATAATATAAACTTTGCTTCAAAAATGAACTTCAACGCGCATAATGTGACTTTTTAAACGTTCACATTTAACAAATAATAATAATAATAATAATAAGCCATAAAAACAGAACAGTAAAAGGAACAGGATAACAAAACAAAAAGAATGTTGAGTACCACTCATAATTCATTCATAATATAAAAAAAAACTTCTTCAAGGAGCTCAGAAAAAACAAAAATAAAAACAACACCAACACAAATTTATAAGAAAAAAGATCATTAAAAACACGAATAAATAAACACAGAAATAAACGATGAGAGGTGTTGAAACAGACAAAAAAATCCAGTTAAAATTCAAATAATGAAGTGTGACAACTCTTCAACTGTTGCACATTTTTAGACTCAATTAGTCACTGGACTGAATGGATGCGTGGGTGGGCTGGAAAAAGGAAGAGATCAAGAAATCTCCACAACTGTTGTTTTTAAGCAAACAGTAATCCCATCTAGAAAGACAGGTTGAACATCTCTTTGACAATCCAGTTAAAAGGTTAAAAACAGCGAGTGGGAGGAGGTTGGGCTTGTGAGGGGGTGGGGCCGAAGACGCCGTATCAAGTCAAATTTTCGAAAGAAAATAAATATACAATCACAACATAGTGATAAAACAAACAAAAAATAAAAACAGACAGAGAGACAAACAGAGAGAGGAGGAAATCAGGGTAAAATAAAGAAAGAAAACAATTGTACAATCAGTTAAAAACAAATTTAATTTTTAAAAATACGACTAATAATCATCGTAAGATAAAGTGAACAAATATGGAGTCTTTTTTTTTATCTATCTATGAAGCTGTTTTATCAAAAAAACATTATTGCTTTTTCAAAAGCACATAAAAGAACATAGAGGTGTTGGGACGGACGGGGGATGGGGGTAAATAAAATTAAAAGAAACAACTCCAGTGGGGTGGGGGCTGGTTGGTTGGCAAGGGATAAAATGAACATTGAACCACAAGTAAAACAACGAAAATAATAATAATAAAAGACTCAAAAATTTCCTCTTTTTTTCGGAATATTTGACTTTATACAATACAATCTGAGGTTACTTACTACTCACATGCCTATTACGCAACTGTTGCTATGGTTACTAGTCCGACTTAAAAAAATAAAATCACAGATCATAAAATTTGCTGTTTTAATTATCATCATCTGAAGTAACAAGAGATAAAAAGTGAAGTCAAAAATTAAGTTAAATCAAATTAAAATAAAATACATATTACTACTGATAAAACAATTTAAGTAGTACTGTTGGTAGTAGTTGTAGTTCAAAATGTGTATATATATATTATATTGCTGACACCGATTACAAGAGGTCAACATAGACGGATCAGTATCCTCAACCTCATCATCATCATCGTAATCATTGTGGAGAGTTTTGTGGTTGTTGTTGTTGCGACTGCTGTTGTTGAACAGGGAACATAAGACGCTTGGAACGCATATAATTAATGATTGGTAAACGTTTCAATGTGGAACGAACAGATTCACTCAGTTTGGAACGTTTATTCCCCATTTCTAAAAGTTTTAAATCGGCTACCAATGGAGGAGGCGGTTGACAGTTCGTTGGTGGAGGAATAGTATAGGCTGAAAGTTCAGCTTCTAAATCTAAAAAAAGAGACATACGATAAGAGATAAGACAGTTATTAATGTAAAATTACATTAAAACGGTGTTTAAAAAAACCTCAACAATCGATAAATTACTGCTGTACCAAAAAGGTATGCCAACGATATGCTTACAGTGCTGTCTAGAAAGAATTTAGTTAGTCCGTTGGAATAGGGTTCAATTACCCAGTATACTGGGCTGGCTATAAAAATAAAGCAATTGATATAAGTACAAAACTTCGGCACTGTAGTATTTTATTTTTTATATTTTATTACAGCTTGATTCCACACTGTATTTTTGGTACAAGTATGGAATTTTCAGCATGTGATATCGGTAACCCAAATTTTGCAGGCCGACCATGGGTATCAGGTGTGCGTCGGCAGGGGATCGAAACCCAGACCACGTGCATGATCGGTGAGAGTCCTAACCACCGTGCCACCGACGCACAGTAGAGTATAACTCAATTATGGATAAGATTTTATTTGGATAAATCATACAGTGTTGTTATACAGTAATATAAAATGATGACCGTTAACTTTTAAGGCAGGCTTAGTTAAGTGTCTAACAAACCGAGCAGTAGCACTAAGTAGCACAAGAAACGACCTGTATGATGAAATGAAACAGATAGAGGAAGCGTTGGTGTCAAATAACTAACCATCTTATAAAATTAGTTAGGAAGATCAGTAGAGACCAAAAGCAAAATTAAAACAATGGTGAAACTAATAATGATAACATAAATAAGAGAGAATATAAGGCATCTACTGTTATACCATATAAGGAGGGAGGGGACATCTGAGACTTTCCCCACGTTGGATTCTTAATAAAGCAGGAATTACAGTGGCATTCAAACCTACAAACTAACCCTGTTTACCCAATCAGACAAAATAATATAATTTCCAAAATACCTCACAATGACTATGCGCTCAACTACATAGGTCAAACTAGTAGCTCGGGGTAGTCAGATTGTCGGAACATAAGAATTTAGCTAAGGTAAGAATGGTTGACCCCCAGAAGTTGAGTAATTTAGAAGAAAGCTTAGCGATTGCACTTCACTCATTTACACACAACCACACAATATGGTGAGTCGCAGAGGGTTAAAATTCTAAGAAATAATCTATGTCTGTGTGTCTGTCTGTTTTCGACATAGAACTTTGCACAAATGTGTACCAGTTCAAGTCGCCACACTCCCTCCTTGTAGCACGCGAAGCAACAGAAGAAAGTACAAGAAAAGCATAATAGAGACAGTGAGCAGAGGTATGAGACAAAGGAGTAATAAAGAAAAACGAAACAGTTTCATTGGAGATCATAAGTCACAAGGAGTGGATGCATCTGCACCAGCCACTGAGAACGATTTTTAGCCATGTCACCAATTGTTTCCAACCGTTTGTTTTTACCGTCCCGAGGACCCCAACCAGTCAGGAAGTTTAAACCTTCCTACGTGGCTTAGACTAACTGTTGTGGATTTCATTGACTGATGAAGCCATGTTTTGGTTTGACCGCCGCTAGCTTTTTACCAGCCTGACCCTATATCCGCTAACATTGCTCGTCGAGGGAGGCGATGACTAGGCATACGTAACACATGTCCTAACCATCTCAGTCTTTGTAACTTCACGACTTCGTCGATTGATTTTCCCTGTTTACTAAGAACTCTACGCCTAACCTCAATGTTGCTCACCTTATTATGCCACTTTACACGGGAAATAGAGCGCAGTCACCTATGATCAAAGACAGCCAGCTAGTCTTTTCATGTCTTCCACTCTAAGTGGCCAGGTCTCACAACCATAAAGGAGGACGGAGCGGACTGATGAGCAGTACACTCGCCCTTTGGCGAGTAATCTATGTAGGTGGAGAGAGAGGTTGATTACTGAATCCTGCTTGGTTCATTGAGTGTACACGCAACACAGCACATGCAACAGAAATGACTCAATGCAAATACCACAGATATGGAAGATATTATTACCACCAGTCAGTCGGTCAGTCGAATCAGAGGAGGATAATAAATAATCATAAATTGTATTCTATTTCAATTCAATTCACGTACATCACAACATTCTAACAAGTTACTTATTTATTTTGACTATAAAAGAAAACACTCGTCTTATTTCCCATCTGATTGTATTTTTATTGATAACACTCATATTATTATTATTATTATTTCTGAATGTACATTATCCTATATTGATTTTTATTCAATCAAATGTCTAATCCTCAATTTCACTCATGTATATAAATGAAGGAAGAAAGTTGTGTGAGTGAGTGACTTGATATGATTATGAGTGGCAGTGATAAACTGTACTCTAAAGGTGGCCTTCAGTTAATATTACTGTATAACAAACACACTGTGTGATTTATAAAAATAAAATCTTATCTAAAATGGAGAAAATAAAGCCATGCTTATTGCTTGGGGGGGGGTGAAGGGGGTAATAATACTATCCATTTGACCATGCGGGACTCGAATCAGGAACCCATTTAACTGAAAGACAAGTGTTTTAAGCTAGCGTGCCATATCTCCACTTCACAAGAATTTAGCAAATGGAACTGGAAAATGAATTAAAGATTTCATTTTTGAATGTAAAATTGACAAAAGATGATGGAACTTTGAATAGATCTACCTTAAAAGGAAATCATTATGGGGAATGTCTGACTAGCTAACAAACTATTATAGTTGGCTACCTGAAGGTGGTAAAAGACCCTTAATTATTTCACTTGTTCGTCACATCAGAGGAATCAGCAGCATTGACTGACGAGAAGAAGAGTTCCCTATTTCTCAAAAACAGCCTGGCTGAATATAAGATACATGGGTACGCTTTGAGAAGACGAAAGAAATGAAATTAAAGCCAAAAACAGAAGAATGCAGTTCAATACCAAAGAAAACACTGTATAACATCCTGGACGTTAGAGGAGACTTCACGGTAGACATCTTTGAGGACGAGAATGTCCAGTTTCTGGAGGAAGACCTTTCCTGAAGCAAAGCCAACAACGATGTTCTCTAAGCAATATGAAAGACAAACTCTTGAATATGTACATATGTCAGTTCACTTGCTCATATACAGATAAGTATATAGAGCGTTCTAAGCTGGTCTTGTCAAAACATCTTACAGAACACTATCCAGCATTGCTTCAAAGAGCATTAAAAAATCGAACGCTTCGTTAGCGCCTATCACCGCATATCAACTGACTGTTCACCACCCACCATTCGGAGTCATCTACTAAAGTAAACGAAAATCTACCTACAAGGCAGTGTTTTTTTTCGACTTCTGCATACTGTGGAACCCTCCATGTCGAGAAGTCAGAGGTATTATGTGTTTTCAAAAGAGACTAGTCCAACTCTCACTTTTACTGTGGATATAGTTCTATCTGATGCCTTGGATTTTATTTACCTGTTGTTCTATTCCCTTCATTTTTAAATCTTCAATTATAATGTCGTGAGAGCTAACCGCCAGCTAAAATTGATAGACAGTAATTTGCGTTAATGTTTACGTCCTTAATATTGGTCATGAGAAAAATAAGAACAAAGACTGACTAAACAACCAGTCACAGCAGCCTTTGCGTAGGCGGATACAATTAGCACATAGATGATAATCTGACATTCAAAAAACAGCCACAAACAGATGAATGATTAACTTTCAGTGAGAAGCAACCACCAATCAGAAGACTGTGTTGTTTGTCTGCTAACAATAATCTATAATAATGTACATGAGAATCTATAAATATGTGTTGATTTCCTTAATAAACGATCTGTTTCCTGGCCCTTGTCTTCTGTTGTTACAATAAAAAACTATTTGTGTCAGTTTGTTTCTATGCACATACTGAATAATTTTTGACTGGACAGCTGTTTCATCCTTGTTTGTGACTCTTCAGCAGTGTACGTGTATCCGCCAGCGATTGTACTCAATAAGAAACTGGCACAGATTGAAATTGGTGGACCATTGGATGGTATACGGGTTCACCTTGTAACCGGAAGGTCATCAGTTCAATTCCTAATGTGGCTGGGCTGTGCACTACTGAAGAGTCGGCTTACAGTAATTCTAAAACTTGAAGTCAGCTTGTGAGATCATAGATGATACTAAAGATTTCACTAACTAACTAATATAACATGTTTTGGTTTGACCACCTCCGACTTACCAGTCGAGGAAGTTGGTGGCTGCTCAGCATGAGCAGCAGCACATGTGTGGCTAGTCACCTCAATCAGTTCATTCATCTTTAAAACGAAATCGATCAACTTCCCTGTCTGTCTATCTATTTTCGACATAGAACTTTGCAACGATGTGCACCAGTTCAAGTAGCCACACTCCCTCCTTGTAGCACACAAACCAAGAGAAGAAAGTACAAGAAATGCATAAGAGAGACAGTAAACAGTGAAATGAGACAAAAGGAATAGTACTATCGAAGAACAATATAGTTTCATTGGAAATTATAAGTCACAAGGAATGGATGCATCTGCACCAAACATTGAGAACGATTTTGAGCCATATCACCAATTGTTTCCAGCCATTGATGTTTACCGTCCCGAGGAGCTCAACTAGTCCAGTCAACACCTTCCTACGTGGCTGGCTTAAACTAACTGTTGTGGATTTCATTGACTGATGAAGCCATGTTTTGGTTTGATCACCACTGGTTAAGTCTTTTCCAACCGGACCTTGTGTCATCTAAGATTGCCCGTAGTCGAGGAAGGTGATGACTAGGCTGGGCATGCGTAACACATGTCCTAACCATCTCAGTCGATGTAGCTTCACAGCCTCGTCGATTGATTTCCCCTCCCGCCTTACCTAGCACTCGACCAATGCTTAACCTCAATATTGCTCACCTTATTATACTACTTCACACGGGAGATAGAACGCAGGCATCTATGATCAAAGACAGCCAGTCAGACTTTTCATATCTTCAACTTTTAGTGACCATGTTTCATGGCCATAGAGAAGGACGGAGTGGACTTATGTTCAGTACATGAGTACTATGATTGATATATGGGACAAATTAGTACTTATACACTCCATCACAAACAAGCACACACGCGCACACCAAGGATAAAAATAATAACAGAAGATTAAGGCATGGCTATAAAATTTTTACCTGATAACTTTAAGTGTTTACTGTCATCACCACCACTTCGTTCACCTCCGTTGAATGGACTCCTTGAATTCTGTTGACTTTTTCGTGTTTCAAAAAAGTCTAAATCCAGATATTCAGTTATTTTACCTTACATAATAATAAATAATATAAGAAATGGGTACAGTGAAATAAAAATACAGGCAATGGAAAAATAAATTGTACAATAAAACAAAAATAAAAAATGTACAGACAATGAACTCCAGTAAACACTGAAGACAAAGAAGTCAGATATCAGGTTTTCAATTGGTGGATGGTGACTAGCACTGAAATCCAGGATAAAGCGCGTTTCGTCCTATTCAGGACTCGTCAGTTAGCGGATGTACCTGCATTTCTCAGTGAGTGATGATGTTCCCACTGAGGCTAGAACCCAGTACCCATAGTTTCAAACTCGAAAGCGTTTAAATACTAACTAAATGCCCAGACATCATCAAAGCATCTGCACAAGAAGCCGACATGTCAACCTGAAACCCAGCACTTCAGTCCAATCAATAGACGGGAAAATCTCAAATTCAATTAAATAGATATCAGGTTGTTTGAAGACTGATTCAGCCCACCGAGTTGAGTCAAACACCCAGCTAGACTTCTGATGAGTTCGACACTGACTGTTCGAAACAACCACATTTGATGTGTCTAGATCACTTTGATCTGACCTGGCTAGCATGCACTACTAGTGTGTGGTGTGAGTAGCACTCATAGAACTGTAACAACAGAAGACAAGGACCAGCCAAACAGATTGCTTATTTAGGAAATCAACAGATATTTATGAATTCTCATGTACATTATTATAGATTATTGTAAGCAAACAAACACAGTCTTCTGATTGGTTGTTTCTCACTGGAAATTAAACTTTCACCTGTTTGTGACTGTTTCTTGAATGTCAGATCATCTATATGTTAACTGTATCCGCCTACGCAAAGTCTGCTGTGGTTAGTTGTTGAATCAGTCTTTGTTCTTATTTTTCACACGATCAGTATTACGGACGTAAGCATTGACGTAAATTACGGTCTACCGATTTGGTAAGCAGTCAGTATTCACTACAGAACTAATCATTTCAGTTGTATACATAGTTTCATCCGACGAAACATTCAATAGATACTCGCTAGCTATGTTGTTTTATCAAGTCTAATTGTCATGACTGAGAAGATTTGTAGCTCAGGTGGATGGATGATTTGCAGTTAATAGTGTTCTCTGAGCAGCTGATTGGCGATTGAATTACCGAGCTTTCGTTATACCCCATCTAGACAACATCTTTCATAAACGCAATTTTTAGCATAAAGTGAACTGATTTAAATTCTCCATGATTGATGATAGAATTGTGTCTCCCGATGACCATCTTCATGACTGGTAGTCGATTTATATCTCTATTGATCATTTTTTATTGACTTGGTATTCAAACGAATCAGCCAGCAATTAACAAACGTCATAAAATACACCAAATCTACCAAAAAAAATTAGAAGTAAATCATGTGACGAGAAAGTTTAAATTCCAAGTCAATAAAAAAATGATCAATACAGATACAAATCGATTACCAGTCACGAAGATGGTGACCAGGAGACACAATTCTATGATTAAGAAAAAGGCATAAACAGCAGAGAAGAAAATTTTCCCTTTTCGACGATTCATTTTCATGAGCTGCTGTACAGTCGTATTCATATATTTAACAAAGAAATCTTTAGACCAATCAGATACTGGTAAACTTTGTCTTCGAAAAACTGTATTACATAACGTAAGGTGTAACCTAGAAGGGATGACTAACTGTAAGTTGGAAAGGAGACAGAAGATGGCATGACGTAATAAGTGTGAGATAATGACCACCTAATCAATAAGCTCATATAGAATGGATGGGAACTAGTGGAAAGACGATAAGGTATTTTTATATAAAATCTGTATGAAAAAGTAATGTTAATAATAAACAGTAATAGAGTGGTAATAAAATGTGGATGATGGGAATAATAATGATAATAAAATTATTAATAACAATAATAATAGTAATTATAGTGATGATAATAATAATAGTGAACTAGCATAGTAAAGGAAAGAAGCAAAATTACAGTATGAACTCTGGTTCCTTTTGTACAAAGGGACTTCGGATACGCCATCTGTACATAACTGAAGCATTAGCTATTCGAGATCTGAAACCGGACCTCTGTATTCAGAAGCGATACATACATTCTCTCGCCCTACCATGGCCAGAGTAAAGTTCTTACCACAATTTTGCTTCTTTCCTTCATTATGTATTATTATTGTTCCCTTGGGTTCCTAGTGGAACATAGGGCTTCAACTGCACGTATCCACTTGCCACTTCTGTCTTCCTTCTGATGTACTTTTCACCTGCATCCATCCTAGTCCATACTGTTTCAACTCCTCTTCACACGATCTCCTCCATGTCATCCTTGTACTGACGTTCCACTCACCGCTTCCCTTTCAGGTTTCTCTCGAGCAATGGCCTGACGCTCACGTGATGTCACCCCGCGGCGGTCTCCTCAGCGAGTGTCCAATCCATCTCCACTTTCTCCTGCATATTTGTTGGTTGGCGATTGGTTCTTCCTTTGTTTCTTTGCATAGTTTCTTGTTTGTGATTCTTTCCGACCCAGCCCGGCCATCTGATCTTCAGTATAGAGGGAAGACAGTTTTTAATAAAGGTCTGCATCCTTTTGGAAATATTCTTTGTGACCCGCCAAGCGCCAAGTTCCTCATCCGTATAGAACAGCTGACTGACTTGACGTTGTTTGTATTGGAAATTTGACTGAATTTTGTTGTTGATACTGAGTTGAGTGACCAAGATTTCCAGATTGGTTTCAGTTGGTTGATGAATGTGTTTCTCGCTCGCCTTCCCGATTCTCGCTCGATTTGACATCCTCGTCCGTTCCGACTTCCTGTAGTTGAGACAATGCTCCCTCCCTAGATAAGTGAATGAAGTAACCTCTTTCAAATCCATCCCGTTGATGGTGATTGACGCTGGATGTTTCTGCTGCTGTCGGTGGTGGTGGTGGTTTGTTATTTTCATAACCTCCGTCTTGTCTATGTTCACCTGGAGTCCTGTCTTCGCCGGCTGCTTCTTCGACCAGTTTGTCGAGTTTCGCTTGTAAGTCTTCGATTTTGTTTGACATCAAACATAAATCATCCACGCGCGAAATCCAGGTCTTCTAGGTTCTTCACGTCGGTCGGTCCAGGATATCCCTGTCTTCTCGTTTCCCACTCACTGTCTGACGCATAATCCAGTCCACCACAATTAGGAATATCATTAGTGATAATAAGCACCCTTGTCTGTCTGACTCCTGTGTTTATTTCAAACGCCTCGCTGAGTTTTCCGTTATGGATCACTTGACATGTGCTACCGTTGTCGTACAGCTGTTGAATAAGGTTGATGAATATTTGGGGTACGCCGTAGTACTCGAGTAGTTTCCAAATTACTTCACGGTCAACGCTGTCGAAGGCCTTCTCAAAGTCTATAAAGTTGAGGTAGAGTTAGGTTTGATTGTTATTCCATGCTTTGTTCTGTGATGATGATGCGTAGAGTTGCAATTTGGTCAGAACATGATTTGCCTGACTTTCCTGAATCCAGCTTGTTCTGGTGGGGCGGAGTTGTGTATCCAATGCGTTCTTTATTTTCTCCAGGATGATGCGACTCAGAATTTTACTTGGCGTCGACAGGAACATGATTCCTCGCCATTTCTTGCAGAGTGTGGCGTAAGTCTCCCTTCTTTGGTAGTTTGACGAGGTAACCTTTCCTCCAGTCAGTAGGCACCTTTCCCTCCTTCCAGACCTTCTGCAATAATGGACCTTCATCATGTAAGTTCACTATTATTGTTATCATCACTATAATTACTATTATTATTGTTATTAATAATTTTATTATCATTATTATTCCCATCATCCACATTTTATTACCACTCTATTACTGTTTATTATTAACATTACTTTTTCATACAGATTTTATATAAAAATACCTTATCGTCTTTCCACTAGTTCCCATCCATTCTATATGAGCTTATTGATTAGGTGGTCATTATCTCACACTTATTACGTCATGCCATCTTCTGTCTCCTTTCCAACTTACAGTTAGTCATCCCTTCTAGGTTACACCTTACGTTATGTAATACAGTTTTTCGAAGACAAAGTTTACCAGTATCTGATTGGTCTAAAGATTTCTTTGTTAAATATATGAATACGACTGCCCATCAGCTCATGACAAGTGCGTCAGTGGCATAGCGGTTGGGACGCCCGCCGACCATGCACATGGTCCGGTGTTCGATCCCCCGGCCACGGACGCACTCCTTTACTTCGCTAAGCCAGAAATAATAATGCTGGTAAAGAGGAAAGGTTTTGCATGAGGCTAGCAACCCCATCCTGTAAAAGTTAACCCTGCTATAGAAACTTCAAACCTCTGGCTTGAAGCCCTATGTTCCACTCGGGAACGTGAAGGAAAGAAGAAGAAAGATCAGCTCATGAAAATGAATCGTCGAGAGGAAAACATTTTCTTCCCTGTTTACGCCTTTTCCTTATGACTGAATATGTGAGGGAAAATTTTGTTCATTGAAGAATTATATCATTCATGGAAAATTTTAATCCCTTCACTTTATGGTAAAACTTGCGCTGAAAGGGGGGTTGTCTAGATAGAGGACGACGACAAAAGCTCCGCAATTCAATTGCCAACTAGCTGCTCAGAGAACACTACTACTAATCGCCAAGTTCTAGTTGTCAGTCAGACTCAAATAAGGTAGTTGACAAACTTTCACAGTTTTATCCCCATAAAAACAGAAGGGAAAAATCTTATCACATCTTTCCATATATAACAAGAATCTACCGCATATCTGCACTGGAGATACATCGAGTATTAGAAACAATTTAATGAATAAGAGGATGTCTAATCTCTTTTATGGATAAACATTCAAAGCCAGAAAAACACTCTGATACTCCGTAAAACTTGAATGTGAAATCAGAAATCCAAAGGAGATACAATTGTTAGTGAAGTTTTCCGAACACACACACACACACACCTGTCCAGATCATTTAGGGAAACGCGTTCCCTGTCGTATCTCTACACCTCATCTCCCTCCATGCACAAACTCGTTCGTGGCTTGAAGTTTCTGTAGTAGCGGTGCCTGTTTTTATGAGATGAGGTTGCTGCTGGCCTCATACCCAACCTTCCTTCTTTACTAGTCTTATTACTGGCCTAGCGAGATAAAGAAGGAGTGCATCTGTTGACCGGGGATTGAACCCCGAACCACATGCGTAGTCGGCACCGACACACATTGTACAAAACCAGTGTATGTTGTAAACAATCTTTCCATTATTCTTACCATTACTATTATCATTATTATTCTTGTACACTTGATCATTGTCAGCTTTGAAGTTGAATGACTTCGCACTGTTACTGTTATTATTAGCTGATAAAACTGAATGTTGCTCATTATTTCCCTGAGTATGACAGCCACCATTTGTAAGTGTATTATTCTTGTTCAAGTAATTATGACTAGTCAATCGAACCGGTTCAAGTAGACGTAGTTGACTGGCGAAGGCTGGAATCTTTAAAACAAAAGAAAAGCAATCACAATTACACAATCAAAACAGCAACCTGTCAATATTATTTATTTACAAAAATATAAAAGCAAGCGTCTTGTATCCCCACCATCCTCGGTACTTGACCTGTCAGTGGCAACATCGGTTGAGTGCTCGCCGACCATGCAGGTGGGGCCCGGAGCTCGATCCCCAGCAGACTCACTCCTTTCCCGACCGATAGCCGCTACCTTGACGTGGTGGTCAGGCTTGCACATCGCAATGACCCAACAAGCTACACTGGTTGGAACTGTTGTTCCTGCAGGTCCTATCATGCCAGAAAGGTTGTTAGGATAGCGATTTGACTAAAAGCAGTCACCAGCATACTTGCACTATGCTGGGGGTATGCGGGCGAAGTTGTACTGCTGGGGAAAAGAGATGTAACAACAGTGGGGTGTTTCTGTCAGATGATCAGCATGCCAGCTATGCTATCTCTTCACTCTGGAGGGAGGGGGTTAGAAAAGGTTGACCCCGAAAACTGTACATCCTGACTTACCCTACAGTGGTCGGTAACCGGTGGTAAGCTTACTAATACGGAACCAATAAAAGAAACCAGTTGATACAGACCGTATGTGACCGGCTGGCATCAAGCAGTTGTCCCCTGGGATCTCCGGTCAAACAACACTAATCCTCTTTCTGTTTCAGGTATCCGAAGAATCAAGCAACTTCCAAGGTGTGGGCAGCTGGGAAGTAACAACCGCACACAGACTTCCAAGAGCACACGAAGCCCCCCTCCCCTTTTCTGTATAAATCTGTATAGTTAAAACAGGAATGATGACAGGATGGCATTCATCGATCAGTAGTGTTGATAGATGTCAAACACTGTGTCAAATCGTTGTACTACTGCTACTCTGTGAGCCAGTTTATGAGAGTTAGTCGTCAAAGGAAAGAATTATTCTTGAAAATAGAATACACTAACTATTTCAACGAAATTACTCCTTCCCCCCGCCCTCCTTGCTCAATGGAATGTCGCATAATCTTCAGTAGCAGCTAATGAACAATTTACACTTAGTTAGTTAACTCTGACAGTCAGTGAATTGTCTATTTTTAGATTTTTCTACAACGAAAAAATCATTTAAAAGTCCACCACAGAGTTAGTTAGAGCTATATGCTCAGAAGAAGTAATTGAAGATGAATTAAGCATTGTATATGATACTTTGATTGAAAACAGTTATCCTGACAAATTTATCAAGAAACACAAGACAAAGAAAGAGGCGGAAAAGGACTACTCACTATCCGTAAACAAGAAGCCTCTTTATATATATGACTACAATTCAAGGGCGATATACCAAGTGAAATAATTAATAATAATAATAATCATTTTAATACTGGAAAACTACACATCTTATTCTCTACACGACCGATGGTGATTCCTCGACTAAAAGATGAAGTACCTAGACTAGCTAGCTAATTCCAATTGTATCTACCAATTCAACTGCGCTTGTGGAGAGAATTATACCGGCCGTTGCTCTTGGAACTTGATTTTTCGTGTTCTCTCGAGAACATCTCCCACTATGGCTAAGTAAAGGTGTAGTTAAAACCACTAGCAGTTCGATATTAGACCATTTGGTCTAAACTGACCACAAAGCCATCCATTATTGAAGAATCCTTCGCTATCAAATAAATTGCCAAAATCATCGAAGCACCGCATACTTCAAACAGCAGAGGCTATCGCAATTCACCTGAAACAACCAGTGATCTGTGCTCAAAAGAAGCAAGCCCAGCCAGCCCCTACTACTGCCCTAGCCGGCCTTCAGTAGAGACTATAAATTCATGAATTTGTATTATTATCTTTCCTAATTTTTCTGACATTCAGTTTATCGTTAAGTTGATGCTGTTGAATTGTAATCCATTGATATTATCGATTCGATGTTATTGAAACAACGACATTAATGTTGTTCATAAAACTAATTCATTCATTTACTATAATGTATATATATAGCTGTAAAGCCTGATGATGAAGTTAGCGGAGTATTCTGCATTCAGTATCCATTCTCTTAAAACGAGAATATTTGTAGATACACAAACAAACATACACGTGACCTGCACGAATTTATTGATTGTTTCATCAAAAAAGTACACATAGTCTGCAGTTATACTACTTGCATATACATACATTGAAACCTACTATTCCTAAGGCTAACACCTTTAAACAAAAAAAAACAAACAAGTGAAGCTGACACACCAATGAATATTCAGCAGTCGAGAGGATTGAGTTGACAGAAGAAATTGTGAAGACTGAAGAGTGATCAGAATCGAAATCTACAATATATGTATTTCATTCTATTTGAAGCTTGTCAGAAGGAGTTATTTGCATGTCTAGAGACACTCGGACCCAGTAAAACCATTGCTTTAAAATGCCAAACCATCTTTTTTCTTTCCTTCACATTCCCCAGTGGAATATAGAGCTTTAAGCTAGTGGCTTGGAGTTTCTGTAGCAGGGTTTATTTTACAGGATGGAGTTGCTAGATTCATGCCCAACCTTCACTCTTTACCAGTCTTATTACTGGCCTAGGGAGGTGAAGGAGGAGTGCGTCCTATGGCCGGGGATCTAACCCCGAGTCACATGGGGCATAGTTGGAGAGCATTCTACCGCTGTGCCACCAACGCACGCCTTTAAACTAGTTATATTTTCCAAAACTGGTTTGTAGAGATTTGATTGATTGATTACATGATTTCATTATGAGCTAACGTTGGTTAGAGAACCATTGGAAAACCTACCAGGGAGTACTGGACAGCTGTTTCATTAGCCTAGTTTGGGGCTCCTCCTCAGTACGCACTCACCGGGGTTCGAACCCAGGACCTGCTTGTTACTAGGCAAGGTGATGGTCACGCTAAAAATCACGAAGTAGTAGAAGTCAGAATTTATGGGACACTGAATCGGGTCCCATTGGCTAAATGGTATACGAGTCTGTCTGTCTGTTTTCGACATAGAACTTTGCACAAAGGTGCGGAAGTTCAAGTCGCCACACTCCGTGTAGCACGCGAAGCAAGAGAAGAAAGTACAAGAAAAACATAATAGAGACAGTGAGCAGAGGTGTGAGACAAAGGAGGAGTAATAACGAAGAACAAAACAGTTTCATTGGAAATCATAAGTCACAAGGACTAGATGCATCTGCGCTGTGACTGAGAACGATTTTGAGCCATGTCACCAATTGTTTCCAACCATTGGTTTTTACCGTCCCGAGGACCCCAACCAGTCAGGAAGTCTACACCTTCCTACGTGGTTGGCTTAAACTAACTGTTGTGGATTTCACTGACTGGTGCCATGTTTTTGTTTGACCGCCGCTAGCTTTTTTCCAGTCTGACCCTATATCCTCTAACATTGCTCGTCGAGGAAGGCGATGACTAGGCATGCACGCTTAACACATGTCCTAACCATCTCAGTCTTTGTAACTTCACGACTTCGTCGATTGATTTCCCCTGTTTACCTAGAACTCGACTCCCGCCTAACCTCAATATTGCTTACCTTATTACGCCATTTCACACGGGAGATAGAACGCAGGCATCTATGATCAAAGACAGCTCATCTTTTCATAGTATACGAGATTGCCCGTTAACCGGAATGTCCCAAACTAGGATGAAGCAGCTATCCACTACTCCCTGCAGGTTTTCCAATGGTTCTCTAACCAATGTCAGCTCATAATGAAATCCTGTAACCTGATTATAATTTATCTTTAACGCAGAATCGTATACTTTACACAGTCTAAAATCAGTACATATGTTCTTGAAAGGTGATCTGAGCAATTATATATATATATATATATATATATATATATATAATGGTATCGATTTATAGTAATTTAATACTCTCATTAATAGCATGCATTAAGTTCTCAAATAACAAAACTAATTCAAAGTTTACCCAGATATAAGTTGAATACTAATCGAAATATGCATAGAACAATATATATATAAATAAATACAATTCCGAATATATAAACTGTTTGGCGTTTTTATACAAAAAAAATAAGACTTTAGGTAAATGAAAGTGACGGTGAAATAGGATAGAGGACACACTGAGAAAGCTGGTAGACAGTTCTTATTATGCAGAAATTATAAGTTTTCAACGAATAGGTTGAATTTTCAACGTGTAACACATTGTCCCAACGGAAATGCCTGGCAAAAGCGACAATGTGTCTGAAAGTTGATAAATCATGAATGCGTCTATGTTATTTGATGAAGGATTTTAAGACATGTCACCTAGGGGATCCAGTCGTTGGGTTCTTACATCTCAGTGGACTGGAGTCAAGTAGTCTACACCTCCCTTTGTGAATCAAAATAACAATTAAAAGACTTAATGAAGTGGTGTCAGGTCTTGAGTTGACTGATCCTAACAATTTTCCAACACAATCCAATGTCGGTTAAAATTTCTCATCAAAAACGGATGTGGTTGCGCATACATAGCCACCTCAATCGACATAACTTCACACCCTTATCGATTGATAGTACTTCTTCCTCACCTAAATCTTCAAGCCCAACCTCGACACTAGTCAACACACAATACCACTGAACAGAGGAAAGAGAATAAAGTCGCTTAAAATCAAATCTTCCATTATCAAGGTTCATTATTCACGCACATACAAAGGATAGGATAGAGCTGCTAGCTAAGCAGTGAACAATTCTGTTGATTAATAAGTGGATGTCAGAGCTTAGATGATGTATGTTCGCTAATGCCACACTGACACCTTTGGTAATTGAAAACTACTTAAACTGGCGAAAGAAAAATTATTATAAGGGTTTATAAGAAATTTTTGTCGAAAAACTAGTTTTGTGGAATGAAATATAATTTTTTAATTTTTTTTTTAATTTTTGATTACAGCTTGATTCCACACTGTGTTTTCGGTACAAGTATGGAATTTTCAGCGTGGATATCGGTAGCCCAAAATTCGCAGGCCAACCATAGATATCAGATGTGCGTCGGCGAGGGCTCGAACCCGGGACCATGTGCATGGTCGGCCAGAGTCCTAACCACTGTGCCACCGACGCACAGTGGTTTATGCATTATTGTAATTGGAATAAGGCAGTTCAAAATCGGCACGTGCATATTAGATGGAGAAGCGCTTAGACGTGATATCCGGCTATCAAACAAAGGGCGGGTGTACTGCCGAGTAGTCCGCTCCGTCCTCCTTTATGGCTGCCTGTGAGACCTGGTCATTGAGAGTAGAAGACATAAAAAGACCAGCTACTTGTCTGTGATGATAGGTGCCCGCGTTCCATTTCCCCTGTGAAGTGGTATAATATGGTGAGTAACATTGAGGTTAAGCATTGGTCGAGTGCTATAGGTAAGGCGGGAGGGGAAATCAATCGACGAGGCTGTGAAGCTACATCGATTGAGATGGTTAGGATATGTGTTACGCATGTCTAGCCAGCGCCTTCCTCGACTGACGGGCAATGTTAGCTGACATAGGGTCAAGTTGGAAAAGAGATAGTGGTGGTCAAATCAAAACATGGCCTGATCAGTAGATGAAATCCACAACAGTTAGTTCAAGTCACGTAGCGAGACAGGTGTAGACTGGCTTCCTGGTTGAGGTCCTCGGGACGGTAAAAAGCAATGAAGGCTGGAGACAAGTGGCTATATGGATCAAACTCATCGTTCTCTTATAATACCCAATAAAACTATATTGTTCTTCGTCATTACTATTCTTTTTGTCGTATATCCCTGATTACTGTCTCTAATCTGCGTTTCCTTTATACTTTCTTTTCTTGCTTTGTGTGGTACATGGAGGGAGTGTGGCGACTTGAACTTCTGCATATCAGTGCAAAGCTCTATGTCGAAAACATACAGACAGACAGAAAGATAGAGAAGCTCACTATCCAATTGTATAACGATTACTTAAAACCCTGAGTCACAACCAAACACACAAGTTGTATCGGGAACCACATAGGTGGTCCGGTGAGCGATTCCAAACAGACGTACTCTCGAACCTAGCTTATGCAACAGTAAACTCGATAAAAGAAGGAAGGAAGGTCGAGTGTAACGCTAATAACCTCACACCGCGAAAAAGAAAACCCTAAAGGTAAAGCTTGGAACCCTATTTTGCTACCCAAAAGTCAAAGGAATAAATTAATAATAATACTAACAATAGAAATAATTTCTGAGCCGCTGCTTTCATAGTAGAATGCTTCTCACAAAATCTACAGGAGGTCAAGGTTCGACTCCCAACTGACAGATGCATATTCTTGAACCTGGTCTAGTTAGTTTACTAGTCAGTAATAAACGCGGAAAAAATAGAACATTGGACATGAGGTTCCTTCAGCAGCCCCACGTCGTAAAGGTCAAGAACACCTCTACTAAGTCGAGTCATTGTATCAAACAGTAGATTAAAGCAATAAGTAAAAAAACAAAGACTAAATCCTGACACTGTTATACAATTTTTAGTCTTTTTCACCCTGATAAAGCAAGAAAGATTGGTAGAGATTACCATAGAAACATAGACTAAGCCCCAATTCGCTGCATTGACGAGGCCAGAGTGTTCTACACAAAAGTGGAAGGAAGAATCTGTACGTATGAAACTTACAATCAGACTGATATAAGTTTAAAACTTGGGCACTGTGATATGGTATAACCCCACTATAGATAGATAAGATTTTATTTTCATAAACTCTCACAGTGGTGTTCTACAGTAATATGAACTGATGACCACATTTCGAGCACAAACTATTGCCAATCATAATCATATCAAGTCACTCACTCACTCACACAACTTTCTCCCTTCATTTATATACATGTGTGGAATCGATTAGATATTGGATTAAAAATCAATATAAGATAATGTACATTCAGAAATAATAATATGAGTGTTATCAATCAATTACAATCAGATGGGAAATAAGACGAGTGTTTTTATAGTCAAAATAAATAAGTAACTTGCTAGAATGTTGTGATGTACGTGAATTGAATTGAAATAGAATACAGTTTAAGATTATTTATTATCCTCCTCTGATTTGACTGAATGACTGGTGGTAATAACATCTTCCATGCACATCTCTGGTATTTGCATTGAGTCATTTCTGTTGCATGTGTTGTGTTGAGTGTAGATTCAATGAACCAGGCAGGATTCAGTATTCAACCTCTCTCTCCACCTACATAGATTACTTCTTAGAATCTTAACCCTCTCCCATCGTATTGTGTGCTTGTGTGTTAATGCGTGCAGTGCAATTACTGAGCTCAAAATTCTATTTCAATTCACGCACATCATAACATTCTAACAAGTTACTCATTTACTTTGACTATAAAAACATTCGTCTTATTTCCCATCTGATTGTAATTGATTGATAACACTCATATTATTATTTCTGAATGTACATTATCTTATATTGATTTTTAATCCAATATCTAATCGATTCCACACATGTATATAAATGAAGGGAGAAAGTTGTGTGAGTGAGTGAGTGACTTGATATGATTATGATTGGCAATAGTTTGTGCTCGAAATGTGGTCATCAGTTCATATTACTGTATAACAACACTGTGTGACAGTTTATCAAAATAAAATCTTATCTATAATGGAGTTACAACCAGACTAGTGGATGTGATACTCTACGTAGGAGAACCGGAAAACCTCTCATTTCGAGGATATGGTATACATGAACTCCAGAATCCGAAAGGATAGCATGGAGTATGGACCATGAACGTGCAGTTGCTGACACACTACACCACTGCCTTGAGGATCAAACATCAAGTAAAAGATTCGGAGGATGGCCGTCTCTTTAGACAATCACCAGCTTTGTTCTGGGTGTCCAGGTGGTATTAAGCCGCCCCCCCCCCACCTCAAACTATGTGATTTTGTTTAACGCATCTCTTAGTGCCCATATAACGTACCAATTCTGTGTTTTAATTATAATAATAAAGAAATAAATCTTTGTTTTTTCAAGTTTTTAGAAGAGCCATATCAAAAAATCACACGATAGTGACCAGTATCTATACGACGTCTTCAGCGAACTTTAGTTTTAAGTATGCCTATCATCACCTCTACCTAGACATTAGTGATAACTATAAAAATTTGACTGAGCAGTTCAATTATTGATGAGTTTCATCGAAAACAAGTTTGTGAAAACAGAAACAATAATAAATACACATATATTCTTTGTAATTACCGCATTTTGAGCATTCACATCGATAGCGTTTAAATATGTCATGAAAATTGGAGATTTCCACCATTGTTGATGTACTTCAGGCAGTCGATCTGGACTACAGAGACGATTCCAAATGCTAGAAACAGAGAGACACAGAGAGAGAGAAAGAAAGAGGTCAACAGTGAGATATACATTAACATATATATATATATATATATATCGATTTTGGGATTTGTGAAAATTTGGATTAATTCGATTTCAGTTGTTAGATTCCATCATAAACCAACTATCAGTTAGATAGATCATTGAAAGCTAGAATTCAGGGATCATTTTGTAACAAAGTCTGCTGTGGTTGGTTGTTGAATCAGTCTTTGTTCTTGTTTTTTCTCACGACCAATATTGAGGGTGTGAGCATTGACGTAAATTACTGTCTACCAATTTGGCTAGTAGCCAGCTCACATCACACTCATCCCCCGTCAAAAACTTGTGACTGAAGTTGGTTCGGTCTTCTTGGTTCTAGGAGCTTCGCTCATCTGTCCTGCTGTCTGGAATCTCGGCGCTCGCTGATGTTCCCCTGTTTCTTTTTGGTTGCCATTGCGATTTCGTCTGTGTAACCCCGTCTCAAAGTGACCAAATGTGGTCCTTCTCACTTTGGAAACTGTTTGCCTGACTATGTCGCATACTCGTCGGTGTTTCGCCTCACATCTTCATATGCTGCTTGCTCCCGACCACCCAGCAGCGACCCAAGTAACAGCCTCATCGCTGACAGATCTTTAATGCCACTCAACTGCGCAGAAGCCTCGAAGTCCTGCTCGAAAATCCATATGTCTTCATCAAACACTGGCTCATCAAACAAGGGCATAGGCTCTCCATTTGTCGGTAGGCAGCGACACCAAATGTAGCAAAAAAAGACAAGGGCCAGGCAACAGATATTTGTAAATTTTCATGTACATTATTATAGATTATTTTAAGCGAATAAACACCGTCTTTTGATTGGTGGTTTCTGACTGAAAGTTACACTTGCACCTCTTTGTGGCTGTTTCTTGAATTTCAGATCATCTATATGCTAACTGTATCCGCCTACGCAAAGTCTCCTGTGGTTGGTTGTTGAATCAGTCTTTGTTCTTGTTTTTTTCTCACGACCAATATTGAGGGTGTAAACATTGACGTAAATTACTGTCTACCAATTTGGATAGCAGCCAGCTAACACCACAATTTTATCACGACCCAATTGGTTGGATGATCACTGAACTTGGTCTCGTAACCTGAAAATCCTGGCTTCGATCCTTGGTAAAGTGATGGGTGCAAACTGCTGAACAGTTCTAAATAATAGGATGAAATAGCTGTCCAATGTCCCATAGTTATCTTCAATGATTTCGCTAGTTAGGTGTATTGGTTCGTGACGAAATCCAACTATTCGAATTAAATATACAGGTAGTTTAGTTAGGAAGGGAGAGGATTTTTGTCATATAATCTTTTGGGGAGCTTTAAATCCAACTATATCAGGTGACAAATAATTCTTTTTATTGTACAAAAAATGTTATAATACTGTCAGGTATTGGACTTCTATTGATTTATTGATTCAAGTGCTTAATTTTCTTTTTAAATGACTGAACATTGATTGTTCTTTTAAAGAGGACAGTATATGTTCTATGTTCGATAATCTACGGGTCTTTTGGTGATAGTGTCATTTTTTGCACTACTCGCCTTCTCAGTGGAGCAATAGGACTTCAAGAATTGAGGTTTCAGTCGCAATGGTGTTGTCTTTACACTATGAGGATGATGGCCTAAAGACCAACCTACCCTGTTTTGAACAACACATTTAAGCGAACAATACTGTTTTCAATTAGATCTCATCTTACAAAAAGAATCTGAATATATTCACGATTCCTTGATGGAAATGGGCTACCCGAGTAGTTTCATAAAGAAACATATGAAACCATCTGAGGAAAAAAGCTGAGACTCTGACTGCACATAAGAAACCTCTATTTATTAAGTTCCAATTGAATGGTGGCTTATCAAGTGAGACTTTGTTCCAGAGACTTTCCAGGAGTATACGCAAAACGTTTTACGCAGCAGACCTATGTTTGTCATTCTGTAGTCGACGAATAATTAAGAACGCAAGAGAAGGATAAGCCAGATATGCAATTGGTGGATGGTGGCTAGCAGTGGAATCCAGGATGCGCATTTCGTCCTATTTGGGACTCGTCATCTGGATGTACCTGCATTTCTCAGTGAGTGATGACGTTCCCACTGAAGCTCGAACCCTGAGAAATGCAGGTACATCCAACTGACGAGTCCCAAATAGGACGAAATGCGCATCATCCTGGATTCCACTGCTAGCCACCATCCATCAATTGTATACTAATTAAATGCCCAGACATCGTCGAAGCATCTGCACAAGAAGCCGACAGACATGTCAACCTGAGACCGAGCACTTCGGTCCAAACAATCGACGGGAAAATCAAAAAAATTCAATTCGATAAGCCAGATAGTTTTGCCACGCCTATGTGCATTTATTAATTCAACTGCTCTTGCAGTGACAGTTATGTTGGACGTACTACTAGACAGCCTAGCCAACGTGTGACTACTGAACATCTCCCATCGTGGTTCATCAAAGGACAGACAAAAACAATCCGTAGCTACATCTTGTCACATTAAATTGATAGTAGTGTCATGTAGTAGAGAAAACAAAAACATTCAAGATAATTCATCGCATCCAACCGAATCTTTCCAACAGACTTCGTATTCGTCTACTGCACACAGCTGAGGCGATAGACATTCGAACTATTAAATCCAAACTATGCATACAAAAGAAGTTCATACAGCCACTATCCCCTCCCCCTTGGCCTATTTTAAAACCTAACCAACTAATTGATAGCGTTACCACCACCACTCCTTATTTATATTTTACAACCCCTGTCTTATCATGTCTTAGTCTTATCATATCTTCATTAAAACGTGTTTCATTTCTTTCCCTTTACAATCCAACATTACTTAATTGGTTCATTTGTTTTTACTAGCCTTTATCGACTACAATGTCTACCTGAACAATTGTTTGTTTAATCATACTGTTTTTCATTATTCGTGTTATCACAGATTGCCTCACTTTTTCATCCTTATTGTTGATAAGACCATTATTATTGTTATTATTATGATTAATTGGACAGTTTATATTCACCATCTTATTATCCCATAGACAAAAGACCATAACTGGTATATATTTAAATTTTTATTTGTAAAATTATGTAGGTATATTAGAGTTAAGCCTGATGAGGTCTATATATGTGTAAAACTTTGGCACTGTGATAGTAAGTAATTCTATATCAGTTTGTTTATTAGATATATTACACAGTCAGTTAAACAGTATTATTATTTACTGGATGACACAGTTTCAAACACAATTTATTGCTGTTCATAATCATATTAATTATATACATAAAAACCTAGCAGCAAAATCTAGATAAGTTAACCCGAATAAGATAAGAAATCTAGAGAATAGTCCAGCTATAGCACTCACTACATACAATTACACACAACCATACAATAGACTGGATGGGATAAGATGACACGAGGTTTTAAAATCTAATGTAACAGCCTGGTGGAGGGAGAGATTGATAACCGAAGCTTTGTTTATTGAATCAACTGAGAGTGAATACGTGTAATAGGAATGATGCAACACCTGTCCACCCAGATATCTGGAAAATTCCATTACCCCAACGATGACAAATAGGAGGAGAGAATAAAGAAAACTATAAAACCCAAATTTTCGAAGTCGTGTGATTATAATTGATGAGATCTAATTGAAAACAGTAATATTGTTCGCTTAAATGTGTGTTGTTCCAAATATGAATCCCACAAAATACACAAATAAATACCGACAAATGCGGGACACCGAATGCATGTTCAAAGGCTGATAGATAATCAAGTGTAGTGAAACAAAAACAGAGATAGATGAGTCATTTACAGTTGCCTATTGGCAAGCGATTACGTTTGCTAGGTATCTCCTGAAGCTATAGAAACCAATAAGAAGAAATCTGATTTTCATTAGACACTAGTCAGTGTGACTAGTATAGTGTGTCTAGTCCTTGGTGTTTAGTGTAGACTGAATTCTATCAGTCAGTCAAATTTGCAATGTGTAGCCACGGTGCTATCCATGTGCCCTACTATTATGGTGCACTTTCAATTGTTGATATTAAATGGCTGCAGGGAATCGGCAGGAAACTTAGGACATAGGTTTCGTGCTTGTTAGTGCTCACCAGTTAATCAGCAAGGCGTATCTACAACCTCGGAAGGACTTATGTCCCTTCTGAGATTCGAACGCGCGCGTCACCCAGTGCTGCAATCGGAGATGTTATCAATCAGAGTAGCCACAATACAGTCCTACAGGAAGACTATCACGAGCCTCAACATCTAGCTCAGTCGTAACGTTTGTGACTGCAACACTAAGTGACGCGAGTTCAAATCTTAGATGGGAAATGAGTTTCTTCAAGGTTGCAGATACCTACGCCTTGCCGTGCCAACCAGCACAAAACCTGAGTTCTGGTCGTCTTCTTGCAGATTGCTTCCAACCTCCAACCATCTAACAGAAACTTGATTTATGTGTACAATCAGAAATAATTTAATATAAGTGTCTTTATATCAACATAATACGACTGTAGTTTATAATAGTGAGTGTACAGTTGTAATATTCCACGGAATTATTGTCTCATAATTTGTACGAGGGCTGAGATACCGCCCAGATACCCAGACCGAAAAGCAAGTGGTTGTATCTTAAAGACCGAAACCCTGAGAGTTTAATTTAAGGTTTGATCCAGCAGACAGTAGAGTGGCATCAGAAGCTACATTCCCATGGATCCTGGTGAGAAATAAAAGTATCTTACTGATATGTATCCACATATATATATTTATGTGTGTGTGTGCATGTTGGTCTCTCTTTCTGTTTGCTCGGTTAGTCTGTGACCACTTCACTTGTATGGACTTGTCTCCTTTAATAATGTGTATTCTCCTTATATTATATTATATATAATATGAGTGTTTGTTGACAGTCCGTAGCTTGGTGACATATATCCATATATGTTTGTTGGCATGTCTGCTATATTCGCTATGTATAATTGGATCGACACTCCATTATAA